CAGGAGGACGAGGGTGGCTAGGACCCGTAGGCTGTGCGTGGTCCTGATCATCTGAGGAGTCGTCCGAGTCACACTCCTCTGAACTCTGCTCCCTTTCGCCGTACGACTCATCAGCATGCCCCTGCTGACCATAGGGTAATGGTACGCGTGCGCGAGGAGGTATCGACTTCCCTGCGTAGCGGGGAAAAGCATATCACGACTAATCGTACGGTCCTGGTGCCGGGAGCATCGACTTGCCTGCCTGGCCAGGATAATAAAATCCATGCTCACCGTACGGGAGGACTCCGTGGAGTCGCGAACTATCTAGCTGGCTCACAAAATGATATCCCTGCGGACCATCTCGCACTGGTGCGAGGGGTCTCGAACTCTGCCTAGCCTGACGAATTTGTACCCTCCGAGCCTCATCGATCATCGCCTGCCTTTCCATGTCCCTTTCCCGACGAACGGACGCATTGACACCCCGACTTCTAGTGTGTCGGGTGCCAGAACCATCATAATAGTCATCGAACGCCTCGTCGTCGTCCCTGGCATTAGATTGTCCAGGTCTGCCAACACCCTGAATCAGAAATATAATTATTAAATTTTTTCATATGTAATGGCTATTCTAATAACTATTACAATAGATTATAATTCATTTTTATTTTAATATATAAATTTTATTCATTATTATTATAATTATAATTGTTGAGATTTATAATGATTATTATAATTTTTTATGCAAATTATTATAATTAATACTACTTTATAATTATTATTATATTTAATTATAATTATCATTACAAATTATTATTATTATTTCTTATAATATTATTATTATAAGCATTTATAATTTATAATTATTAATATTATTAATATTATTTTTAGAATTTATAATTAATTACAATTTATTCAACTTATTATTATTATAATATTTAATAATTATTATTATAATATATAATTATTATTATAATTTATAATTGTTATTATAATTATTATTATTATTACTAATAATTATTATTATAATATATAATTATTATTATAATTTATAATTGTTATTATAATNNNATATATTTTTTTTTTTACAAAATATTTAATGCGTAGAAAAAAATAAATTTACCTTGCTAGAGAAGTACGTTTTGCCGAGGCCGTAGGATTTTTTCGACATTTTTTCGGATTTTTTTCGGTGCTCGAATTGCTCGTTGAAAGTTCGGGAATTTAGAGAGATAGAAAGTTTAGAGAGGTAAGGGTTAATGGCAAAAGAGTAAATGGGAGGGGGGCGGTGACTAGTAAAAGGGGGACGGTAAATAGCAATTGAGTTTTTGTTTTGATTCAGTTTGGTATTCTGAATTATCAAAATGGTTCAATTCGGTCGGTTTGGTTTAAAATTTCAGATACTTTTTAATTAGTCTTGATCTTTTTTGAATAACTATTTAATTATAGATAAATTTTATTATTCATATATATATATATTAAGAAAATAACTATTTACTAGAAATATTAAGTAAAAGAATATGCCAATTTAATTACATGCCACTTTGAATTTTTTATTTTATTTTATTTTTATCATAAAACCGGGCATTATTTAACGCCCCCTTACATTAGACATGACCGACCCGTGGCCTATAGATAAATTTTATTATTCATATATATATATATTAAAAGAATAACTATTTACTAGAAATATTAAGTAAAAGAATCTGCCAAATTAATTGCATGCCACTTTGAATTTTTTTTTTATTTTATTTTTATCATAAAACCGAAAATTATTTAACGCCCCCTTACTAGACATGGCCACGGGCCGGCCCGGCCCGTAGGTTTCCGATTTTGAGGACCGTAACCGTGGCTTTACGGGTCGGAAATGGGTCTCGTGTTTTCATTTTTGGTCCCGACGGTCCGGGACCGGGTCGGGGTTGGGCCGGGACCGAGCCGGTTCACGGGCCCAGCCCTTGGTTTTTGGCAGGCCGGTTAAGGGTCACTCAAGGGAGGCCTGTGGGCCGGGCGGCCCGGGCCGGACCGGGCTGTGGTCCGTTGATTGGCCATCTCTACCTTACATGGTGGGTTTTGTTAATTTCAAATCTTAAAATTGCGCGTTAATATTGGACGGATTTTTTCAAACATTTCTTAAGATTTTGTTCAATTTAAAATGTGATGATTATATCTGTTTCAATTTAAAATTCAGTTCCTTAATTGCATACATTAATTCGGGACAAGAAAATGTACCGTGACGCCGGCGACCGGTGCGTGCGCGGGGGAATTCGCAGAACACGTGGAGGTCGTGGTCTAGGTGAGGCGGCCCACCAGAGATCTCCACAACCACCGTCCGGTGATGAAGACGGCGATAAGACAGTCTTGGAGGCGAATCCCTTTGACAATTTTCCACCCCCGCACGTCGAGACTGACCCCTTCGCTGCATACGACGGCCGTGACATGCGGTGACAGGGCCCAGTCTTCGTGGACGACGACGATCAACGCGACGACAAAGGCAAGCGCCAGGAGGCTGCCTTCATCAGTAGATATCATGCCCGATGCGATTGGGGACTTGAACGTGATGGCACCGGCTTCACGATCCCCGAGTTTTCCGGTGGGCTTGATCGCAAATATGGTCGATGGGAGGGCGCATTTCGTGTTGACATCCCTGAATTCGGTGCAGAACAAGATGATGGGACATTGTACAACGGCCCGCCAATCTTTGATGAAGAGCCTCCAGTGACGGGAAAAAATCTTTGCGAGGACACGTGAATCGATGAGGATGCAATTGTCTACATGGATGGAGATGTTTGCAAAATTCGTAGTGGACCGGTGTCAATTGATGTAGATTCGGGTATTGCTACATCCATTGCTTGTGATTCATGTGATAAGTGGTATCACGTTGTTTGTGTGGGATTTGATCCTGAAGGCAGATGTGCTTGATCATGGTTGTGCCCAAGGTGTAATTATACAATGTCTTTATCTGGAAGTCTTGGTATTTGTTGTTGATGATGGTGAGACGGCTGTAGTCGTATCCCTGTTTGATGCAAATCAAGAGAGTATTGCATTGGTTGGGCGACGTTCAACCTTCGTGTTTGATCGGGGAAAACGATGGGGTTTTCTTACCGTGGATTCGACACCACACACCGGCCACAGGAGCACATCGATTTCGAGGGCGAAGTCTTCCGAACTGAGAGAGAATGGTGTAGACTATTATTATTATTATTATTATTATTATTATTATTATTATTATTATTATTATTATTATTATTATTATNTTTTTATAATAATAACTAATAATTTTTTTTTTAAAAAAATAATTCTTAGTCAAATATTAGTGAAACTCCCATTAGCATTTATTACATGTCATTTAATAAGAAAATGATTTATCACATTTTTATCCACCAAAAATATAAAATACATACAGTAAAAGGTTAATAGAAAAAATACAGAATTAAATACCATCTTCAATTTTGTCTTAATCTCACTTAGATATAAAATCTCATTTTATATGTTATGTAAATTAAATCTCATTTTATTTGTTATGTAAATTGATAAATCAAGTGTAGGCATAAAGCGTTGAATTGTTAAGCTGAATCTTTTTCACTCAATTTTTCACACACGGAAACGTCATAATTATCTGTATCATTTATATATTTACTCAATTATTGAAATTGTTTATAAAATTGTTTCACACATGCTATCTCTATATACATATACATATATATATATATATATAAAGATGTTAAATTTAAATATTTTTAGACATAATTTGTTTACAATATAGTATTCAAAAATTATAGGTGACTTAACATCTTTCATACTGATGCGAAATATAATGTTTTTATACATTTTTTCTTTACAGAGTAGTTTAAAAAAAAAAATTAGGTGACTTCACATATTTCAATAATAATATAAAATATTTTAGATATTTTTGCATAGGTCATATAATATTTTAGGTATTTTTAATATTTTAAACATACACTTTTTATATACTTTTATATAAGATAATTTAATATTGTTTACAATAAACTAATATACGGTAAATATATCACACGTTAACCTCACATCTTTAACATAATTATTAATTAATATTGTTTAGCTTCATTTTTAATTTATAATTATTATTTAATATTATTTACTGTGTATCACACGGGCAATGCACGAGTATATATATATATCAAATAAAAACTAGTCCTGGTGTGAGAACCGTGAGAACCGTTTTTTATGCTATTTTAATTGTGTATGATGCTATTTTTCATATTAGATGATGCTATCATTTTTACAAATGCTAACAGAAATTGTTTTGCTAGTTTTAATAAAATTCATCCTGATTAAAAATAGCATCAAACACAATCAATCATACCATTACACCCAAACAAAAATAGTCGCTCTCACGGTTCTCACACTAAGACTTGGTTCTCACTTGAACCACATCATATATATATATATATATATATATATGTGTGTGTGTGTGTGTGTGTGTGTGTAGGAAATAGTTCAAATGAGAACCAAGTTCGAGCGTGAGAACCGCTATTTTTAATTGTGCGTAGTGCTATGATTGATTGTGTTTGGTGCTATTTTTAACCAGGGTGAATTTTATTAAAAAAAAACCACACAATTTATATTAGCATTTGCGAAAATGATAGCATCATCTAATATTAAAAATAACATCATAAACAATTACAAATAGCATCAATTATGGTTCTCACGGTTCTCACACCAGGACTAGTTTTTATTTGAACCAGCACCTATATATATATATATATATAGCGATCACTCATTCTCTCTCCTCTCTCACGTGTCTCTCTCTCTCTCTCTCTCTCTCTCACACTCTCATTCACTCTTTACCTCTCACACACACAGACACACATACTCCATCACACACACAACACACACAATTATGTACGACCGACTCCACCAGCGTCGTCCCTGACTCTCGCCGGCACCATGCCTAATCACCTACGCCGCACGTCTACCTTGTTTAGCGGCTCTGTCGACCCCGACGAGAACAGTTGCTTCCCGTCCGCCTTGTCCGTACAGCTTTCCTGCACATGCTGCCGACAGTGGCCTCACCGGCGCCATCCCTTGTTCTCGCTGGCACCTTGTCTGACAGGCACCGCACGCCCCCCTTGTTCAGCCGCGCTGTCGACCCCGACGAGCGCAGTGGCCGCCTGTACGCCTTGTCTGCACGGCTTCCCTGCACATGGCTGCCGGCAATGGCCACACCAGGCCGTCCTCGACTCCCGCCAGCACCATGTTTGACCAACGCTGCACGTCCGCCTTATCCAGCCGCGCTTCCGAGTGGCCGCTCGTCCGCCTTGTCCGTACATACATAAATTTAAATATTAGTATTTTTCATTTTTTAATTTAAATAAATTTATTTTTCACCAAAAATCATTATGTTATATTTCTATTTTTTAATTTGGTTCATAAATAAATTTAAATATTACTTATAAATATAGATGGAATTACTTTTAAATTTGTATATGTTATATGGATGTCAAATAAACAATTATTAAAAGATGATCAATTTATTAAATCATATTTGAAAAGCTAAATACAAATAACAAAAATTTTAATTTATAAAATACAATGCACGTGTGTACACTATGTTACTCCAACAGATAAAAGGTCTGAACCCTTGGACTGAGGATGTGTGGAGGTGCTCTTTCTCAGAACAAGGAAATTTCTATGTGAAGGCTGTGTACACTATGTTACTCCAACAGACGATCTGTAAGGTGGCTGCAGCCGAGTCTAGTGTACATGCTGGGGGAACACTAAAGCCAGATCAAGAGTTTGGAAGTTGTAGGTGTTGAACAAAGTAAAACATTTCATTTGGAGGAGCATCAACAATATACTACTTGTTAAAGGGAACTTGAGCAGAAGAGGGCTAACAGTGGCACTTCAATGTCCTCAATGTGGAGAGACAGAAGAGACACAGGAACATATACTTTTTCAGTGTAATAGAGCCCTGAAGACATGGAAGCTTGCACCTGTGCAGTGGAACAGAATTCATGATGGGCAGCTTACTGTCAAAGAGTGGTGGTGGTGGATCTGTTCAATGCCAAAGGATGAGACTTCTGAAGATCGTATTCAACTCTCCACTTATATAATATATGGTGGCTATGGAAAGCTCGTAATTTGTGGGTGTTTGAGAAGAAATGGCAACCGGAGACTTGGATCATCAAAGCTGCATATAGAGATTGGGTAGATTTCAAAAGCAGAAATGAGGCTTGAACTGGAAGGGCAAGACTAGGTCTCGTGTCGGTGGTCTTTGTTTCTTTTAGTTTTCATTTATATTCTACATTTAGGTTTCTCCAGTCCACCATGATCCGAGTAAATATGACTAGTATGTGATGTCCTTGTATTGTTGTTGCTTAATTTGTCATGCATTTGTATTGGTATTGATATTGATTTAGCTATTTGGTTTGGATTAGGCACCACGTGTGGCGCTTGCTCTCCCAGTGACCCAGGATAGGGAATTTCCCTTGTGCTTTTTCTTTGGTTGGTTATAAGAGTTTCTTCTGTCGTTTAAAAAAAATAAAATAAAATAAAATACAGTGCACGTAATAAAACATATAGAGAGGATTGCACCACCCCACTCATCTATCATACAACGCCTTAAAAAATAAAACTAAATCAAGAGCCTTCCAAGTAAGTAATGATTGTAGGATACCATACTTGTGAAGAAAGGTGGAACAAGAAGCAATTAAATTGCCTGCCCAAAATTAGTCAAGTTAGTTTGATCCACATTAAAAGCATCCCGACCATAAAATAATCTGGCTAACCTAACATCATTAATTACTTTGGTGTCCTTAGATTTATCTCTCAGTGCTCAAAGAGACATTAGTCATTTTGTTGCAAGGAGTTACAGATAACATCTCAACTTTTATGTCATGGTACCAATTGTCTAGTACTTGATGGGGCTTTTTTAACCGCACATTTGTACACATTTATATATAAGTCCAAATGTGTGACATGTGGTTAAGAATTCCATCATCTAGTGTTCGATATTGAGCTACTTTAGTCAATACTTTTGCACATATTATTAAAAGTTAAAACACATAAATATGCATTTAAAAATACCTTGTTTGATGTGGCATCCATAATTAATTGTGTTGGAATACGATTTGGCTCGGATCATGCGAATCTTATAAATTAAATCAGATGGAAGATTGGCTAAAAATCTCTATATTATTCATTTCCAGATAAAGTGGCATCCAAGTTGATTTACATATATTTCTTATCAATTCTAATATACTCGAGTCCTTGAGAATTGATAAAATCCCATTTATTCGGGAATAAGACTAACATAACTTCCAAATATTAGATATATGTTCACTTTTTATACAAGTCTCTCTAAAAAAATTAAAATATAATTGATTCATTAAGTGGCTCTATCATTTGATTGTCTATGTCAAACTCGTCGTCGAGGATGTTTTTCAAGTTGATCCGATTCATAGTTCGAGATGAGACTGTTTAAAATATCTTGATGGACCGATTATCTGACCTCATATTGGTTATATAGAATTGTGTGATGGACTTCCTTGGTCTCATAATTGAAATTAGTACCTAGTTCGTGCGATACGAAACAAATATGTAAAATGACTCATACCAATAGAGACTTGCCCGTTTTAGCCCTAAAACAATAAGGTTGGATTATCCATTTTTAATCTCTTTTAATCAATATTATTTTAGTCACAACGTTAAAATTGAGTCTGTTAAGGATAGTATATAAGTTATTAATTTATTATCCCACTAAGATGTTTAGACTAATATAAATTTGATATATATATATATATATATATATATATTAATTGATATAAAAAAATAACAGTTGTACTTATTCATGTTTACCATAGAATACTGAATTATTAATGTAATATCCCATTCAGTAATTAATAAAAGTAATTATTCTAAGTATGAATTAATTACTTTTATTAATGCTCGTTCCTAGTTTCGAGCCAGTTATTAAGTTATTCAGTTAAAAATTCGACTTTAAGTCGAAAGTATTCTCGGTTCAATATTATTCAGTAATCGAGCCAGTTCAGTAATTAATTAATTCCGGTCTGTTTATTTTTATAAATGGATTTATAAGACGGGATTAATTAATATAAGATGACGAATAATCGAAATTGAGTATATTTTGATTAATCGTTTAAGATAAGTAGTGAACTGAAACCAAGTATGTTCGGTCATGAGTTGAACTTAATTAAGAAATAGCCGAGCCTTAGTACTAAATACATAGAATTTTTCTAAGTGTTTAAGTCATCAAGATAAGATCATAATATTGAGTTTTAGCATAAGTTGATACAAGTTAAGTCTTGAAGTAAGGTTAAGTATCCATGAACATTTAAGTGATAAATGTTCAAAGAAGTGAGAAAATTTATTTAGACATTATAGTCTATTTAAATTATTTTAATAGAAATCGAAATTTTTAGAATTTTCGGTTTTACGGTAATCGTTCGGTTTAAGTCC